GTGAGGGGTTGCGAAAGGATTTCCTTTGCGGCGGATTACACCCGGATGTATTGTGTTGCGCGGCTGGTGACCCAACAATTAATCAAACAACGAGAGTCCCATGCGTTGTTTGTTCCTCGTTTCGCGCGTCTTGGTTATGTTCTTGCATCTGTTTCCATGATACCCGTGGGTCCTCGATCAACCTGGACGCCCGCCACGCAAGGTTTCCTCTTTGTGGCGGATTGCATTAGGATTCTTCTTGTTGCGGATTACAATTCAATGTTTTTTATGATTTCCTTTGCGGCGTGCTTCGTTTTTGTGGCGCGTCATCAACAAACGAGAATTCAATGCGGTGTTGTATGTTTTTCGTTTGCCAGTTTCTAGGGGTTGGACCCCTCTGGGCCCCCTTCCACCTTGCACGCCAGTCACAACAGGCATCCATTTGTGGCGGATTACAAAAGGATTCCTTTGCGGCGGATTGCACTAGAAGTCTCCTGCACGGGCTGAGATTCCAATTCTGCGAATGATGGTCTGCACTTTTTCCGCGCGTTCACCGGGCCCCGCATGGGCATTCCAGAAGGCAAAAGCAAACGAAACGGCGGCGCGGAAGAGGCCCGCCAGCAGGCCGAGCGCACCTCTAGGCACCAGTGTCATAAAGAAAAAGAGCGTCTGAGCGGCTCTTTTCGAGCGGCCTTCGGCACATGCTAGAACAACGAGCACCTTCTCTTCTGTAGCGACTAACAATTGCGTGGATATGTCCGCGCGTCGAAATATATATATATATATATATATATATATATATATAACACTGAGTTCCATGCGCCATTTGCCAAATATGCCATGGCTACGCATTGCACATAGCAGACGTTTGTGTCATTACTTCGCAGATAAATGGTTCGCGCTTTTAGTATAAGGCGCATTGCGATGCATAGGGTCGTTCGCATGAACTGATCGAATAGTGATGCAATTCGATTCGTTATGCATGCGTGCGTTTGTGTGGGCGTCGGTGAATGTGCATGCTGGAATGTGTATGGGCTTACGCATGCGAGTATACATGTGAATGTTTGCGCGTACTCGTGTGAGCGCTTGAGCATGTGTAAGTTCATTTGGCGGGATACTGCTTGCTGCAATCGCAGAACAACGGCAAGTCGAATTGAACAAATTCCCCCCCTCATTCGTAGGGTCAAGTCACGGGTTTGGGGCAGCTGTGCGTTATAGTGGGTTTGGTGCTGCGCGTTTTTTGTTAGTGACTAGCGGTGGTAAGCTGTCGGCTCCGTCGTCGGCGCAGCGTATGGGCGCCGGCCGCTAGTGTTCTAGAAATAAGTGTTTGCAGTCGTGCGTTTGCTGGCTGTCGCCTTTCTTACGGAATGGGCGACGTGGATCTCCAAGGCATTTAACCCAGCGAGCCTTGGCACGTCAGCATAGTTGGAAACGTGAGCGCCGTAGCGACATTCCTTCTGTGGGGATTAAGGTTGATGTGGAATGTTGTCGCCCATGCCAACTGCGACACGTGTGAGGCGAAGGGCTCGGAGAAGCATGCGAGCCAGCATTTGAGCAACGTGCAATGGTGTGAGCATGTAGCAGCACATGTGTCCATATCGCGTATTGGATCGAAACGTACATCATGAGTGAGGCCATGGTGATCTGGCCATGTAAAGATTATCGTGTAGATGACGATGATACCAGCGATGCATGTTTTGAGAGCTACTGGCAGGTGAACGCGCAAAACCTATAATGCTGCCAACCGAAGGAACACATGAGCAATGTACTGACGCCGTGATGCATGCAGGAAGTCTGCAAAACACAACGAAGTATGCACCCCCCCCCCAAGCACCCACCCGAGGCATGCCCCGCAGGGCCCCGTGCCGGGCGCGGGCTGGGCCGCGAGAGCAAGGACAGACGCTGGTTTAGCCCCTTAGGCCCCCCCCCAACGGGGCGTGCCGCATAGGGCCCCCATGCCAGGCATGGGGCGGGCTGGCATGACTGTCTGGTGAAAGGGCTAGTGCTGCAATCTGCTCTGTGCTCTGTGCTTTTGATGGTCGTGCAGTGCTGCTGGTGGTGAGGGCCCGTGCTTAGTGGTTGGGAGTCATGCTGGTCGGTGGTTAGTGATAGTTGCTTCGTGGGCGTTGGTCGAGGTACATGCTGGTGTCGTCTGTCTGGTTGGATGCGGGCTACGTGGTGGAAATGATGGAATTCATTGCTGAACTTGGTCGTTGGCAATGGTTGATGTTGTTGTCGGAAATTGAAATTAAGTCCGTACTGGTGGGTGCAAGCACTGGTGAGTAGAGGTTCAAGAATTTGGCCCGTGCTAGTGCTCGCAATCATGCTGGAAGTGTCTGCTGTGAAGTAAGCGGAGCAAGTAAGGTCAGGCAAGCATAACTGAGGCTACATCGTGTCCCTCCTCGAGGCATGTCTCATAGGGGGGCTACATCGTGCCCCTCCCCGAGGCATGTCTCATAGGGCCCCCGTGCCGGGTATTGGACGGGCCGCGACATAGAGAAGCTAGTGAAAGGAAGGTGAAGGACGAGGGGGGGCGTGGAGGGAGAGGGGGGAGGAGGAGGAGGAGGAGGAGGAGGAGGAGGAGGAGGAGGAGGAGGAAGAGGATGGAAGAGGAGGAGGAAGAGGGAGGAAGAGGGAGGGAGCGGGAGAGGAGTGGGAGGTTGGAGGAGGAAGAGGAGGAGCATGGAGGAAGAAAGAGGAGGGCGGAGGGAGGAGGAGGAGGAGGAGGAGGAACGCGTACCCCGCTGGAGCTGAGCTCCACGTGTGAACGGGCTAAACACCCAGGGATTGGCGAACAGGCAAAGATGTAGTGCACGCGCACGCCCTATGATGAGTCGCAACCTACCTACAGTTACGTCCGACGGGGGGAAGATGTGGAGGAGGAGGAGGAGGAGGAGCAGGATGAGAACAGAGGAGAAGGAAAGGGCGAGCGGGTCGGGCGATGATCACAGATCCGACATGCTCGACTGCTTTTCGACCACTTCTTTGCCTCAAGAGGCCCCTAGGGACCTGGACGGAACTACAGGGACCTCCAAAGGAGTCGAGGGAACCTGCAGAGGAGGGGGTGGGAGCGGACGTGCTAGAGGATCGTTTTTCTCATGGCGGCGACGACGAAGGCGACGGAGACGAAGACGACGACGACGACGACGACGCCGACGGCCGACGCCGACGCCGACAAGAGGGGACGCAAGACGGACCCAGACCCTAGACCTCCAGGGCCTTTGGAGGCCTCTGGAGCCGCATGGTGCATTCAGAGACCTCCGCGGACCTGGGGCCTCAGGGGAGTCGAGTCTCGAGGATCCGCGCAGAACCTGAACTTCTGCCGGCGCAATTTTCCCCTCGTCTTGCGCCTCCTGGGGCGCCCTCGTGGTCCCCGCGCTGGACTTCATCCGACCTCCTGGCCGGAGCGCACCCTGGAGTAGGCTGGAGGCCCCAGGCCTCTGGCGGACACTCATCGCCCCAATCCCGGCGCATAGTTTTCCTCTGTCTCCTCCCCGCCACCACCCATCGGGATTGCCGATAAGTAGAGAGCAGAAAATCCACCCGTATAGTAAACACCCCGACAAGAGAAGCCGTTTAGTAAACGCACCCAAGGAAGGAATCGAACAGGGTAGTGCTGTTTAGCAAACGCCCAGGGCCGCGTAGTAAACGCCAATCATAGAGGCCTCATAGATGGGGTCCGAGTAGATGGGGTCGGAGGATCTCGCCGCATCGCCGATACATCGGCGATGCATCGCCGATGTATCGGCGATGCATCGGCCATGCACTGGCGATTTCGGTAATGCATCGGCGACGTCGGCGTGGCCCACATCGAGCCGCATCGCTTATGAATCGCCGATGCATCGGCGATGCGGCGCGATCCTCCGACCCCACCTACTCGGACCCCATCTGGGAGGCCTAGAAATTATCAGGGTCGGGCTGGTTTTCCTCCCTTGAATCAGACCTCGATCTGGGACGCCGCTGGAAAAAAGCCAGTGAGCGAAACGCTTGGGGCGCGGGGGGCCGCCTGCCTGCACGCAGGGTTGGCCCCTCGGGCGCTTTAGGCCCAGAGGGGCTCCCTCCCAGGGCTCCCTCCCTGGGGGTGGTGGGTGGTGGTCACTGCATTTGGGAAACAAGTCCCGAGCAGAGCAACACGCACCACGACCACGACGACGCCGACGACAACGACGACGACGGCGATAATGACGACGACGACGACGACGACGACGACGACGACGACGACGACGACTTTACAACGACGACGACGACGAAGACGACGACGACGACGTTGCAACGACTACGACAACAACGACGACGACGGCACCCCCCAGGGAGTAAGACGAAGCCAGGACGAGGATGAAATCGGGGAAGGATAAATCGAGAATCTTTGAGATCCAGCGGCTCTGGAGGATGTCTCGGGCGCCGCGGCCTCCACAGAGCGTTCCAGAACGCTCCGAGAGCGCTCCGGAACGCTGTAGAACGGGTTTGTCCTCGTCCCAGCCCCGCCTGAACGACCCCGCTTCCGTCACTCACCTCGAACCTCGAAGTTCGAGCCTTGGACATCGGACTTGGCGGCGCGAACGATAGGGGCAGGGGGGAAGGCGTCTTCCGTCCGAGGGAGACTTAGAGGCCTCCTAGATGGGGTCCGAGCAGATGGGGTCGGAGGATCGCGCCGCATCGCCGATGCATCGCCGATGCATCGCCAATGCACCGGCAACGTCGGCGATGCACCGGCGACGCCAGCGTGGAGAAAATCGGGCTCCACATCGAGCCGCATCGCCGATGTATCGGCGATGCGGCGCGATCCTCCGACCCCACCTACTCGGACCCCATCTGGGAGGCCTAGAAGACTGGATGGCTCTGAAACGGATTTATCCTCGTCCTGGCCCGGTCCGAGGGAGACCTCCAGAGCCTCGCCGAGAGAACTCCATAGGGAGCTCCCGCGGGCCGCAGGCCAGGGCGTGGGGGAAGGCCGAGCCCGGGCGATCAACGAGCCGCCAGCGGCATCAGCGAGCCGCCGCGCGCCCCCCGCGGCTCGGAGC